ACCGTTCTGCTGCACAAGTTGCGCTGAAAGAGTAAGAGTACTCGAGTTTAAAGTATTACCACGTTATCGTAAGTGCTCTGAATCAGTACCATTTTTTGTTGAAAATTATAAAGTTAAATCTAGTTTGTTGTTTATGATACTCTTACACAATTTAAGTCGAAAGAGCGAACTAATTGAAGGCCTCGCGCATCTGCATTCAGCCTCTGAGGACGTTCCAGTTACTAGCATTCGAGCCACACCGTTCATCCGAATGGTCTGGATAATGCTTATTTTTTATTGGTCCTGATAGTTCGTTCTTTTTTGCATGTCTCAAATTGTTTTATTTATGCGTGCTTACATTTTGATTGTACTTTTCATTGATAAAAGGTAATAAAAATGTAATAATAATCCAATGCTTTTGTTACTTTTCACCGACACTTATTTTACTTTGACAACTTGGGCTGCATCGAAATGCATCTCGTTTGACTGAAGTTGCTTCACTAGCTGGTAGGCCTTGTACCGCTGTTGTTGTTTGTGGTGGTGCCGCTGTTGTCCCGAGTTTATTTCCCCATACTTTTGACGTTAATTTGCAAAAAAAAAAAATGTTAGGATTATCGCATTTTGTCTGCTGCTTATTTGGCGGCATTTCTGTAGCACTTTCTATTACGCCATTGCATATATGAAGAATCAGCTGAATATGAGTGCCTGAAGACACCGTAGTCCAAGCGCAGCGTAATCTCTACTGATACTTGAGACGGATATATGCCTCTAGTGCTGGTGGTATTATTAAGTAAAAGAAGCATATATATATATATATTTTTTTTGTAAAAAGATATTTTAAATTTGGAAGCAGATTTCAGTATCAGGGAGTACTCGATGCTGTACATCATTCGTGCATGCATGCACAGGACGAAGTTGTAGAAGATTTGCTCAAGAAGGGCCAAAAAATGGAATTTGATAACGAAGTGGTCGCGCAGGTGGCTTACACTCTATGCGATACTCTTTGTAACACTTGGCCTGATGAATTGGTGCAGTTAGCGAAGTTGGTTTTTGTTGTTCGCTTAGCACTGCGAGTGATACTTTCGCAAATCAGTGAAAGAGAATGCCAAAAAAAAAGTTGGGAGGGGGGTCTTGTAAATATTGTTGTAAATGGCAGATGAAAACTGCTGGCGAGCAAATTGGGATAGCTGGGTCTAGTTGTCTGGGTACATTGAGGGCTCAACATCTTTTTAATTTGAGTGCTTTATCGGTAATTTAGAACATTTCCAATGCAAGCTTTTTTTAGACACGCAAAACGTTCAGTCATAAATGCCACCGATCTGAAGCTCCTCTTTCGAAGAAATCAAAGCATGGCAAGTAGTTTTCGTTTTCCAGAACTCACTATGAGTCTCGAATAATCACTGATATGCTTGAGAGCTGCTGTACAGTCAGTGCTTGGCATAGCTTCTTGTGCATGTGATGACTGCTGTACAGTTCAGCATCGAATATACGAACTAAGAATGGGCTCTACATTAAGGAAGGGGAAATTAAATTAGAGATGAAATTGGAGTAATTGAAAAAATTAGAAAATTAGAAGCAAAAAACGAAATCAAAGGGGACTCTGCTCGAAAGAAAAGCAAAATTAAGGGTAAGGGGAGGGGGTGAGCGACAGCGTGAAATAAGTCTTAGCACTTGGTGATGCAGTTTTGATGATGGAGTGTCATATAAGTGTAAAGGAATGGCAGACGTGAAAATTTCTGTTCAATTTCAGATTTAGGAAATTGGCAACGCACTGTACATGCATCGTAGCCCTGTGCGCATTTTAGGCCTGGCTTTCGTACACCGAAAGTGCGCACCATAGTTTGATTAAAAATTTTCGGTTTTAGATCTCTTTGATCGAAAACATTGCCGGAAACATGACGCTTCCTGCCAGGCAGAGAAAGCCACGAAAAGTAGGCAACAAGAGGAACGACTGTGAAGCAACCAACATTCTCCAGATGGATGATGAGATTTCCAAGGATGCGAGCAATTCTTCATCAAAAGAAAACAAGAATATTTTCAAACTAACGGATTTTTGGGATCAGTAAGTTGTCTCTTTTTCTGCATAACACAGTAAAACTTTGATAGGCAAATGGTGCTTGGGACAAAAATTGTTGAGAATGCAGAGTATAACGGAGCGTCGCGTAAAGTATGATATGT